CGGGGCATTTGGTCGTTGCAGGGTCGTTGTGCGAGTGGGCTCAGTCGGCGGGTCTTCACAGATCCCTATGGGACAGGGCCTCAGGTTGTTGCGGTGCATTGTCTTTATTGGCCCGGTTTGTCCTTCAGGTCGAATCTCATACACAGGAGAGTCCGGGTCAACCTGGCCGACTATTACGAATGGTGACCGTTGCCAGCGAGGAGCCAATTTATTTTGATCATGTCTGCGAAAGTTTTTAAGCAGCACTCTATCTCCTGGAAGTAGGGGTAAATTATGTGCCGTTTTGTCATACCTCTGCTTGTCCTTTTGTTGTTGTGCCTTACTTCGGGTCAATACGTGTTTGTAGGCTTTGGTCAATGTGTGATGATGGTGGGCCACCCAGTCATGCATGTGGTAACTCTGCAAGTCAGATGGGGCTCCTGTTGCAATTTCCACTGGCAGCCGGGCATGACGTCCTGTCAAAACAAAATGGGGGGTGAGGCCAGTGACGCTATGTGAAGTGTTGTTGTATGCAAAAAGCAGAGCCGGCAAGTTATCTGCCCATCTAGCCTTTTCTTCATCGCTCAACGAACCAAGCAAGGATAAGAGAGTCTGGTTAAAGCGTTCACAGGCCCCATTACCTTGAGGGTGATAAGGAGTGGTGCGCACTTTTTTGCATCCATACAGCTGACAAAGTTTGTGAAGCACATGAGATTCAAACGCTGATCCTCTGTCAGATAGTATCTTCTCTGGACAACCCCATATCTGAATTACATGTCGCCAGAGTGCTTGAGCTGTAGTGTTGGCAGTTTGGTCCTTGGTTGGCACTGCCCACCCAAATCTTGAGAATAGGTCAGTCATCACTAAAACATACGGGTACGGGCCTTGAGGATTCCCTAAGGACAAAAAGTCTATGGCGACAATTTCAAGGGGGTAGGAGGACTGTATAGGCTGGAGGGGGGCTCTTACCTCCGACCTGGCTTTAGTCTCACAACAGGTGGCGCACTGTGTTGTCCACTTGCGTATGTCCTCCCCCATGTGTGGCCAGAAAAAGGATCGCCTCAGTGCAGACTCCATCCGGTTTGCTCCCATGTGTCCACAGGATGAGTGATATGTATCCCATAATGAATGTTGGCATGACGAAGGGATCACAGTCTGATAGAATGTATCACCCGTCAGGGGGTCTTTCACGGCGCGTCGCAGGACACCCTGATGTATTTCAAGTTTGTCCCAATGTCTCGGGAGGCTTCGGGCCATTGGTGGTGCTTCGACCCTCGCCTCCTTTGTTGGTCTGCTGCCTTGCAGAATCCACTGGCAGAATGTTCTCAGGCCTTCGTCCTTTTGTTGGTCCTCACACCAGTTTCTGGAATCGTCCGCATCTGTGGCCATAACATCAATGTGGTCATTAGCTTGGGATCCAGTGTTATGTGGGAGCCTAGACAAAATGTCTGCATTCTTGTTTTCCACACCGGGTCTGTATTTGATGGTGAACTGGTAATTTGACAATTTGGCTACCCATCTTTGCTCTACGGCTCCCAAGTGGGCTGTGTCCAAATGCACTAGAGGGTTATTGTCTGTGTAGGCTACAAAGTTGGCTCCCAACAAATAGTCTTTGAATTTATCAGTCACAGCCCACTTTAATGCCAAAAGCTCCAGCTTAAAGGAACTGTAATTTTGGTCATTCTTTTCTGCTGGGTGTAAGCTCCGACTTGCATACGCGATAACTCTCTCGCGGCCATCTTGCACCTGGGCCAGAACTGCGCCCAACCCCTCCAAGCTTGCATCTGTGTAGAGATGGAAGGGTATAGAAAAGTCAGCATAAGCAAGCACTGGGGCACTTAAAAGAGAAGCTTTACGTTTTTCAAAAGCTCTTTGGCTCTCTGGGGACCATGTGACTTTTTGGTTTTTATTTAGGGCAGCACTACCTTTTAATAGGGAGTGTAATGGTGCTGCAATTTTGGCAAAAGTGGGGATAAAACGTCTGTAGTAGCCAACAAAACCCAAGAAAGATCTAACCTCTTTTACAGTTTCTGGGGGCTTCCACTGCTGGACCACCTTCGTCTTGTTGGATCGGTTGCTACCCCATCTTTGCTCACTAAATGGCCCAAATATTTCACTTCTTGTTGAAAGAAATGACATTTTTGTGGTTGAAGTTTAAGTCCATGCTTTGACAGACGCTGAAACACCTGTTCTAGGTGAGAGAGATGAGAGTCAAAGTCAGGGGAAAATATTATTACATCATCGAGATAGATTAGGAGATAGTCATTTACAAGGCCTCCTAAACATCTGGTCATCAGCCTCTGAAATGTGGCTGGGGCATTACAGAGGCCGAACGGCATCCTGTCGAATTCGTATAGGCCTAGTGGAGTGGTAAAGGCAGTCTTCTCCCGGTCGTTTGGGTCCATCTCCACTTGCCAATAACCACTAGCCAAATCAAGGGTGGAGTACCAACCCGCTTGTTTAAGGCATGTGAGCGACTCCTCAATTCTAGGCAAGGGAAAAGCATCTTTGTGTGTTACAGCGTTCAATTTTCTGTAGTCTACACAGAAGCGCCATGACCCATCTTTCTTTTTCACCAGAACTATGGGTGCAGCCCAGGGGCTAGCACTTTCTCTCACAACCCCTCGATCTAACATATTTTGCAATAAACTGCGTAGTTCTGGGTATAGTGATGGGGGGACAGGGCGGTACCTTTCTCTGCTTGGTGGAGCAGTCCCCGTTGGGATCTGATGCAACACTGCACTTGTGCGGCCGAAATCATCCTCACTTGTTGCGAACACTGAGCTCCACCGCTGCAGCAGCTCCTCCACTTTGTGCAGTTGGGCTGGGTTGAGGTGCTCGACAGAGTTTAGTTGAAACGGACTGGCTGTGGCGGGTGGAGGGGTGAGAGTCGACCGGACATCCACTTCAATGGTGTTAGAGTCTGTGGGGGTCAGCACCAGATCTTGTTTGCTGCAGATCTGTTCAGAAGACAAAAGGAAGACAGAGGCAAGTACCTGTCTTGGGGGTACACTTACAGGGTAAGGATTTACATTTTGTATTCTCACAGGGACCTTACCCCCTTTAAAACTGCAGAGCGTTCTCGCCACCTGCCACTCTCCCCCCTCTGTTTCACCTTCCACGAGAACATCTCCGTGGGGAAGCTGCGTAGCTCCTAGGACGCTGGCCCACACCACCATTTCGCTTTGGGGCGGGACTTCAACTGTGGTGTTTTTAGGCAGGCGGACCACTCCAATCTTCCCATCCGTTGCCTCATATTTGGCAACACTATTGCACACGACAAATGCTCGCTCCCAGTGGTTGTAGTCCGAAGAAGACACAGTCACTTTGAAGGCATTAATTCCTGGATGTGTTCCTTGAAAAATGGTCTCCCAACAACTAAAAATTACATTCATCCCAAGAATAGCTTTGTCTGCCCCCAAACAAGAGTCTTTCACTAGGATTGCACCTTTGTCTAATACTTGAACACCAGCAACTTCAAAGTCCAGTTCAACATAACCCACATATGGTATTTGTAGTCCATTTGCTGCCTTGAGTGTCAGCCATTTTAGCGCTTGTGTATCTCTTAGGGGAACATTTTTGAACCACTTATGAAAAAATGTCTCTGAAAAAAGAGTCACTTGAGAGCCAGTGTCCAAAATGCAGGGAATTTTAACTCCTGAAGCCACTACTTCCACTCCTGGGCATGAGCCAACTATTTTGTCTTTGAGAGTCTCTGGTGCCTTTTCCCCAGCTACCTGCCCTACGGTCGCTGGGGGTTCTAGTTTGAAGTATTTGGGGGCTGGCTTATGGTCGGACAAAATCTCTGAATGTGACCAGCTTGTTTACACAGTGTACAAATTGGTCTGCCTTGATCGTCCCACTGAAAGTGCGTGTTATGAGTCTAAACTCGTCTAAACTCGTCTATCAGGGTACGACTTAAGGTTGTAAGTTGCTCCTGCATTTCTTGGCGTATATCAGCCTTAAATTGTTCTTTCCAATCATAAGTGTCAGATTTGAGGGTGGGTGTTGGTGCATTTACCCTTGAAGTCCAAGCTTGCTCAGTAAAGGTGTGGTCGCCTTCAAGGGCCCGGGCTTCTTCACAGATATTATGGAAGCTCAGGTCTGTCTCCCTTCGCACCAGTCGTTGGAGCTCCTGCTGAATAGGTCCAGTCTTCAGGCCCATAATCAATTGGTCACGCGCTACGGTTTCATTTTGTGCGCTGCCATTTGGTTCCTTGTCCTTCCACCTATTAAAGAGCTCACGAAGACGTAAAATGAAACACCCTACACTTTCCTCTTGCTGTTGTTGGCACTTGAAAAATTGGGCTCTCAGCTGTGCTAACGAGACCTGTTTCCCATACAGTTTTTTTAAATGCTCTAAAATGTGCGTGGCGTTGGTCCGAAAGTTGGGTTCTAGTAATAAAACTTCTCTGCGAGGACTGCCCTCTAATGCACCAATGACAAAATCTGCTTTTTGCTGTTCACTGAGGCCTTGCGCTCTAAGCATAGCTTCAATTTGCCACAACCATTCACCAAACGTTACTTGATCGCCATCACCTGAAAACTTGGGCACCCACGGCACTCCCATGAACCACGGCATAACCATTGTATTAACAGCTTGATTGTCCCCTGCATTTATGTTATTTTCCTGCATGTTTATGTTGTATGGAAAGGGCCAGCTGCTCAGCAACGCCAATTAAATGTCACAGTTTAATAGCAACTGTATAAAATCAAGCCCGGGCCATACAACACAACTCACAAAATAGGAAAAAAATGAACAGTTTTATTTTGTACAAGTTGAAAGAAAAAGATAAAAGTCAGTTATAAAATGTATCTAAAACAAAAGGAAAGGTCCGATGCCGATAGCCATGCTAAAAGTCCCGTCACCTCCACCAGTCCAGGGAGCTGCGGGGAGAGGGCTAAAATTGGTGTATGCACAAATAGTTAAAATCAGCAAGTTCTGCGATGCAGAAGCCCACGTGCAGACGTCCCTTCACTTAGCTGTTTTCCAGGCGTATCAGCCGGCTCCACTGCACGGCTCACTGCACGGCTCCGGCCCCCCTCTGCACGGCCCCTCTGCACGGCCCCTCTGCACGGCTCCACTGCACGGCTCCACTGCACGGCTCCACTGCACAGCGCTCTGTCAACCTTTTGTTCCCCGCTGGTGCTGGGGGGTCTGGTGTCAGTCTAATCCAGTGTCCACGGTCCACACGCGCACCGGTGACACTGACTCTGCTTCCTGGCCCTGCCTCTTAACAATCATTCCGTCACACCACACCACTGGGGAAAGTTTCTGATTGGTTAAAAATGCGGAGCAGTCCATTTGTGCAGGGGTGCACTCAAAATGTTGATAAAAGCAAAACATGCACTAAACACATGCAACATGCAAAAGAAAATGTAAACAAAACATGCAATGATCTAAAACCGCATCTACCCTGCACTCACATCCTGACAGAAGCAGTCTTTGTATACGATAATTCGGAGTGTCTTTAGTTGTGTTGGTTTCTTCCTTTCCTATTCTGCATACAAAGGTGTGTCTTGTTCTACCAAAAGGGCCTTGCAGACTGTGAATCTTCAGACTTGTCTTGAGAGAGGCTAGGGTCTGTGCCTTGCCTCTGTCAAGACATTCTCCTTGTGACAATGTAACAAGTAAAATATTAACTTTGTCTCTTTGTTGTGTGAGATTTCATCAGGTTCAACTGTGGTTGAAACAGCATTATCAATCTCCTGTGGTGCTCCTAAGTCCATCGCGACAGGAGATGTGACTAGAATTGTGAAACCTGAAGATTAAACTAAACATAACATAACATAATAAATAAAAGTAACTTATTGTCTGTCTATGCCTCAATTATGATTTTTTCTTTCTTTTGTTTAATTGTATGATTTAATAAGCGCGTAGTCGACAAAGTCTTAAGTACGTATGTCTCTTGAGTCCAGGTGAGGGGCGAGTAGTCTTTCATTTCTCGTTGGTAATCTCCTCACTTGCGAGAAGCGATTCATCCAGATAGATGGATATGTAATAAAGCAGTAATAATACAGTAATACTAACAACAGATAAAGTGACTAGTGAATGAGAGAAGTATCAGATGGATATGTAATAACGCAGTAATAATATTAACAGGTAAGGTGACTAGTGACAAAGTTACCACTGAATTATTATCAATGACACTTGAATGACTCAGCAGTTCTTTCTCGTTGTACAGCCTGACAGCAGCAGGGAGGAAGGACCTCTCCTTCACGAAGCGAGGATGAATTAGCCTGTCACTGAAGCTGCTCTCCAGAGCAGAGAAAGTGTCCTGCAGGGGGTGACAGTCATGGTCCAGCATACACTGCAAAAAAGGGGGGGTCTTAAAACAAGATAAAAACACTAAATCTGAGGGAAAATGTACTCAAAACAAGTGAAATTATCTGTCCATGCAGCAAGATAATTTCACTTGACAAGATTTCTTAAATTAAGATTGTTAAATCTAGAAATAAGCATGTCTACAGAGGTGTTTGGAAGGCTTAAAATAAGCCAAACATGCTGGTTTTAAGATGAGATTACTTAAAAAGTAACTTTTTACAGCCTCTAAACAAGTGAAATATACTAAATATAAGCATAAAATCCTCGTTTTTAAGATTAGATTACTTAAAAAGTTACTTTTTACAGCCTAGAAATAAGTGAAACATAACTAAATTTAAGCATAAAATGCTGGTTTTAAAATGAGATTACTTAAAAAAGTAACTTTTTACAGCCTCAAAATAAGTGAAATATACTAAATATAAGCAATTACAAACAAAATCTTTCTTACTTTTAGCAAATTTAGCTGAAGATTAGTTAAGAAAAATATTAAATTTAGAGAAAAATACTACACTATTAGTGAAGAATGACTAAACTCTGTCTTAATCCAAGCAGGTTTATCTTGAAAATGAATTAAACTAAGATAGATTTGCAAATTCAAATAACAACCAAGCAGTTCAATCAATTAATAAATCAAATGACACAAAATATTTACACAACTTACATTTTTAATTCAAATTAAACAGATTTGCTAGTTCAGACAACTCAACTGAAACAGGGGTGCGGCCGCGATCGTAGCGTCTTTTTTTCTTTCACTTAACTTGAAATTTTAAGGCAGCCCTTTCGCTCATATTTTTAAGTTGAAACCATTAGTTACATTTTACAGTGCAGGCCTCGATGAGGTAAAACAATTCAAGCAAATAATTAAGTGACACTGTAATAAACTTGTGGAATACACAAAACCATTGTAAGGCATGGGTAACAATAACAAGAACAACTGACATGACAAAATACTGCTTGACATTCAGCTACTTGTCTCAATGAATGATTTCCAATCAGCCATTGCTTTCTTATATGCACAAGTGGCATCTTGATCGTGGATTGTGTCACCAATGACCTCTGTTTGAATAACAGAGAGGAGCGTTGCAACACATTTAGGGTATGTTAAATGCAACGTGTAGTAGTATGCCAATAGCACCAACATCCCTTCTGAGAAATCTTCCTGTGGAAGGGTGGTCACAGGTACATTACCAACAGCCACGATGGTGGTTGATCCATCAAAAAGCAGAACTGGGGAGGAGAGAGGACGCTTCTCCAGATACAGGGTGGGGTCTCCGCCTGACTGGAACAGAAAAAAAAGAACAATGCGTAGAGAGTGAGAAGACATAAAAATGTATTGAAAGTGTATGATCATTTTTAAAATGAAACTATCAGGTTGCAACCAATGACTTGAGCACTCTTAAATTCAAATTCACGTTTAAAAACTCACACTCGTTATTATCAGATGAATTGCTTTACAATAGTGTAGGGGGGAATTGATGTAGGAATTTAGGATTGATTAATACCTGATACAAGCTGATGCAAGGTGCTAATGTTTCATCAGTGAATGAATGAATGAAATAATTAAAGGTTTTGCAAAACATTTTTTGTTATTTCCTTCTGTCAACACCATTTGAGGGACACTAGAGGCACTTCTGTTTTCCCCTTTTGACATAAATTAGGTCATATCTATAACTGTGAACTTAGGTGTATTGTTACTAAATGTGAACAAGCACAATAATGTGAGAAAATAAAGGCACTTCAAAGAGGACAGTAAGGAATCAACACAAACATTTCTCACCTTCAGGATATGAAGAAGTGCCTCACAGCTATTCCCAAGCTTCTTTGGTGGTGAAGTTGGTGAGGGGAAGAGGGATGGGAGTGCATTGAAGAGGGCGAGTGTGAAATCCACTAAAGAATATAAGAATGAAAAGAATGGTCTGAATGTTGTACAAATATCAATACATATTGTATGGAACAGCAACTTACCACTGCGGACATCCAAAGGGAAAGGTGGTTTCAGGACTTTCTTCCACACACCGTAGAACTGCACCTTGGCACAGAATTCTGCCCATCTTCCTTTTACTTCCTCAATGTATCTGCTGTTGGTGCCACCTAGTATGCGCCGCAGCTCATCCATTGCCTAAAACAGCATTGTGCACAGTTCAACAGTTAACAATGCATTGAAATTCAGTACACAGATGGATACACAGTAACTCAAGTACAACAAACCAACATACATTTCGAACATCTTTGAAGCATGGATATGCCTCAAAGATTTTTGCAGGTCGGTCCTCTTCCTTTGTAACATCTGCATCAATGAAAGCCCGTCTGGCCTCAAACTCAAGGTCCAAAATTTGAGCAACATCATTTTGATTGGGTTTTGCATTGGGCTTATTGTACATGTTGCTCAATGTTCTGTAGTGCCTAGCCTGCATCTTCAGACTGTCCTGGCCCACTGAAATGACAAAAAACCAAGCCGAGACATTTCAATGTTAACACTTTAACAACAACACAGGGGAAATAAAGCGTGGTTAAAATACAATGCACTATTTTTTGGGAAACTTTAATCCAATTTCATGGATGACAGGCTGAGAGGTGTGCTGAGGTGGGCTTACCAAAAACATCCTTTGCAGGCGTGGTTGGTGATGCAGGCGTGGTTGGTGATGCAGACGTGGTTGGTGAAGCAATCACAGTCGTGGGTGCGGAGCATGAGGCTGACTCGGATGGCAGCAGTGATGTTTTGGTGCCACTCTTTGGCTTCTTTCGCACAGAGGGGAGTGGTAGTGGGGATGCTTTTTTTTTTTTTTGAAATAATGAAAAAATTCTCAATACAATTATATGACAGGGCAAAATAGGCATATATAAACACAGTGCATGTCTAGCCATGAACTCTGGTTCAACAAATGTGGACAACTATAGTTTCATTACATGATTAAACATTTTTAGTCATAAACAAATTTGTATGACAGCCACCCTTTCATTTTTTTCCCACAATTTGCATACCTGCAGAGTTGTCCTCGCTGATGTCATCATTGCTCTCAAGAAGTATGGTATTATCACTCGAGTAGCTTGTGTCTGTCCAATCTGTCTCCATGTCCTGGTTGTCTGCGCTGAAGAGAGCTGTCTTGGCCGCTCCTCTTTGTGGTACGGAGCCCTGCCTCTTCCTTGGAGATCTCATATTCTGGAGTCGCTTGTACATTTTGGTGTAGATGGTCAGCTGTGGTGAAAGAATGTTAGATAAATTGTTTGTCTTGTTGTTGACCTGTCCACAGTTTTGGTTGAGAAAAATGAAAAATATTACTTACATATGGCATATTTGTGTCAGCATCACGTAACATAGGATAATAGTCGACAATCTTCTGTGACATGGCTCTCATTTCCAGTTTGGAGGGGTATCTTGCTTGTTTACCCATGGGACTAGCACGCAGGATTGCAACCATGCTAGTGATTGTGTTCCTTACAAGTCTGCAACATAGCTCCTTTGACATCTTGTAGTTCTTTTCCTTTCCATTGCAGAGCAATGCAAAGTACTGACTACGCACCATGTCTAACTCTGAATCTGTGTACACCACATACTCTGGAGGGTCTGGCATTTTCATTGTTTTCTCAGCAGATATGGGGGTGGAGGCTTGCGGCTGGCATGGTGGCATGGAGCTAGTTGAGGGCATAATCCCGCTTCCACTGCAAGTGCTGGCATCTTGGTCCGTGGTATTTTCACACTATTAGGATTATGTAGGATGAAAACAAAATGCATTAGGACCATTAAAATATGGTACAATTTAATTTTAATAACTATTATTTATTCCAATTTGTGTTTACATTTTGATTGATGAACTCCCAAAGTTTCTTTCTTCTGAGAAAATGTCCAGGACCAGGAAAAAGATCCTTCAGGTCTTCTCGGCTAAGGCCTTTCAAAGCCTCCTCATCAACACCGGCAGCTGTAATATGACAAATAAATACCTTAAGATGAAGCAATGCCAAGCTACAGTACCAAGCAACATAAAGAGGTGCCATTTATCTCTCCCTCTGAGCTCCAACACATTTGTAAACTGTTTAACTAGTTGTCTGTGCTATGAAGCCTCCTTAAAGTCAGCGAAAATAATCATAAGCCTATCTCACAAAGATGCCAGCCCCAAATAAAATCAAGGGTAAAAATGTTAAAGTCTGGACTTTAAACATTGGGCTACCTTTATGCCATAAGTTCAGTGTTGGTCATATTTTTTTATTTATTTACATTAACTAATTTAATTAATTCATTTAAATTATTAATCAGCACATTTGAGCTGCAACTGTGGCTATTACTCAAAAAATCAGATAATGAATAGCAAATTTACTAATTAGGTTTTCTTCAGCTATCAGCTTTTATTATTATTCCTACAAACTACATGCCAAAAGCACCTATACATCAAATATAAACTTTATTTGTGACTTACCCTCCAAGACCGATACAGTGGCATCGTCAAAAATATCCATTCTGGATTCATCGGCTCCCCGACGAATTAGGCCCAACACGTGGTAGGCTACAGTAGGTCCCATTCCGTTTTGTCGTCTTCATTCACGCTTCTCGGGAATCACGCAGCTGCGTGAAAAATAGTACATCTTATCGCCACAAGGTGGCAGGCTAAGTCCGCTTTAGCTCTTCCAGCTACTTAGACCGTCACAAGAGCTACACATCACTGTGTTGACCTAACAGCCAATCAGGTTCAGAGCAGCGGCAGACACTCATCTGTCTTTTGAAAACCGGACCGGAGCGAGGCTGCCCCATGGATCTGGGCTGCCCGCGTCAACAAAATAAGGTAACTATTATAATATAAATAAGTATTAATTCTCATTACAGTGTTGTCTGCTTTGCTATATGAGCCGTGCAGTGATTAACACGATAAAAGAGGTTTGTGGGAGTCACTTGTTCGTTTTTATGTTAGCTTTCTATTGTGGCTAAGGAGCGAGCTTGTTAACGGTCTGTGCTAAACGTAACGTTACTACATTTGATATTAATTGGTGGGCTTGTTTAAATGGATCATACAAGATGCCAGCGTGACTATTCTTTGTTCCTTGTGGGCTGAAACTGGCATTAAAGTGGCGCAATGCGTCGGCTATCTGGCGCTCATTGGGCTACTAGCCACGCTAGCCTTGACATCGCTCTCGTCTAACTTGTTAGTTAACCCTAACCAGACGAAGTGAGTAGCTGTGGTTAACACTTAACGATGTAATCGATCAAGATATGTGGGGATAACTGATCTGACAGATCATTTATCAATAATTGCGCGAAGTTGACCCCCGCTTTCGTAGCTCTGTTTTTCCAGGTTAGCCACTCGGATGTGGTAGTGCTAACCCAAAGCATCCAATAGATTCATGGTGCGGGCACACAGTTTAGAAATGCTCATAAGAGGACCGTAAATGTGAAATGGCCAATGCTGGCTGTATATGTGATATTTGAGGTGAGTGCGGTGTTCACCCTGTCATGGAAGCAGGAGGCTAGCGTTGAGTTTGAGGGCTGCTGCGGAAGCACGAGTAAACTGAGCCGTTTTATTGCATACAAGATATACTTATGGTAATTAATTCTTGCTCGCGTAGTTGATTATTGCTTACATTTTCCACTAGTCTTGTAAATTTTAACGAGCCTTTTTAAAATATTTTAGATAACCCGTGTTTATGAATTTCATTAACTGTAATTTAAATAGCTATAATACATACATTATAATTTAGCATTTGTTTAAAGATGCTTAATTTGGCGGTGTGTGCAGTTTGACAGGTAAGAATATATACATATTTTTTTTATTTTGTTCTTTTTTTCCCTGTCAGATGGAGGAGAATCCCAGATCTCTTGTGACTATTGTGCTGGATGACAAAGAGATTGCCAAAAGAGTTTACCATCTCAACACAATTAAAGAACTGATTGATAAAAGCACAAGCTTTTTAACAGACAAAGCCGACTTTCATTCTGTTCAAATATACAGTGAAGATTTTATGAAGGAATTTATTGATGCGGATGTCAATGTACTTGTCCAGAACCTTGACAAATACAGAATTTCATTTAAATCATACACTTCGGAATATCAGGTTTGTAATGTTCAACTATTGGTAATATTTTTTATTTCTTATTGTAACCTCAACTTTTATCTGTTTTACTGTTTTTCCTTCCTAAGAACCAGCCCTCGGGTTCAACTTCAATTGGAGCCATTGCTTCATCTACAGTTGGACTGTCAGAGGTCTCTTGTCTCGCTCTTGCATCGACTTTGGATACGTCAGTCAAAGGGAATTATTGACTTCATTTTGGTGAATCCCGACGTGATCGGGGCAGGAGCGGGACAGAGATGAGCTCAGTTATAGAGACTGGATTTGTGGGTTTGGAAAAATCTCTCTGCTCTTCAAAAAGGTCGCTTCTAAGGTAAGCGGATCACAGTTTTGGAAATCTGCACATTGTTTTAAATAGAAGAGAGAGAGATTTTGGCTCGACAGATTGCAGCGTGGCCAGACGACCGCCGTGACGGGGCGTTCTATCGGACGCGATAGAACAATAGTCAGGTTTAGACGTTTTAACCTTGGGGGAAGCATGGGTCCCTCCAAAAAAAACAGAACAGATGATGAAAAGAGCCACAGGGGTATAAGTGCAAAAGAGGCACAACTGTTTAGATAAATAGGATTAGAGAGATAGGGATAGTTAGGGTCAGAAGTTATAGGATAATAAAAACTCCATATCCCCCGGGGGTGGGGAAAAGGGCACAATTAATTTAAACAGAAGAAAAGCCAAGTATTTAAAATGTGGATTCTGATAATAAATGATCTGATTAATGAGGAAAAAGAGAGCCTCTTGGCTGTAGTATACGAGTTTCATGTGAAGAAATGATCAGTTATGGAAGTTTTTCTCTTATTCTGATGTAATGTTTAATAGTCACAGAGAATCAAAAAAAAAAAAAAAGAGATTCTGCTGGGACTATTACTCATGTAAGCAAATAGTAATGTTTTTCCATTACTGACGTATTTAAGGATAAAATGTAAAAGTGTCGTTTGACGTGAGAAAAACTTTTACTACTGATTTAAAACCTTGTCACGAGAAAAACGAGGCATGCTTCCTTTGTTCGGGAGGCCCTCCCCTCCCTCGTTCTGTCCTCTCTCTCTCCCCTTTTTCTCTCTCTCTCTCTCTCTCTCTCTCTGTCTCTCTCTCTCTCTCTCTCTGTCTCTCTCTCGTGAAGAAAGAATTTTTTGTAGAAAATTACATTTATACACACGATAATGTTACTGACATGGAGTCATAGGATCACAGAACTTTGAGTTAGATTATAAAGAGGCATTATTTTATTTTTATTTTTTATCTCCAAGGCGTCTAGACAAGTTTTTTCCCTACATTTTGGTGATATAAAAGTTAGAATGATCTTAGAGAGCATTATACTTTTGGAAAAATAGGGCTTAGGATACCAGTTGAATGCAGAATTGGTTTTCAGAATTTAATGTTTAAAATGTTAATATTAATTATTTCATAGGTTTATTTTGAATTGTAATTAATCATTGGTTTCGTATGGTAATTAACACAACTTGTTTGTGCTTCTTGTTTGTCTGTTTTTTCCGAGAAAACTTCTGTCTGTATCATTTGGCCAAAATCGTCTGCCACAAGACCTCAATCGGGCGCCATCAGCACGGACCATCTGCGTCTCCCCGTTTCACCCACAGGGGGCAGCAAAGACTGCAGCATCGGCTGCAGCAGCTAACAGGAACTCTCGAAGAAGACTCTCCAGCCCCATTTCATGGAGAAGAACCAGACTTTTGCACAAACCGAGTGGAGTTATGTGCACGGAGAAGAACGTTGTGTAAACCTAACAACACTCTGAAGAAAGACATGGAACAGTGATTGAAAGAAGAACGAAGAGTGATTATTGAGAAGAAGAAAGAGACAGAAGAAAAAAGACATTGAGACAAAGACATTGGACACTATGAGACAAAAGACATTGAAAGACGCCATGAGTAAAAGAAAGACATTAACGGACATTTGAGACGTGGCTGGCCTAAATGAGACACACAGAAGGTAAATATACAGACAGGCAACAAACGCACAGAGACATATTAAGTCATATTTACACATTTAGGTCATTCGTTCATAACACCACATTTAGCTGCATGAAAGAATACAGGACAATCGTTAAAATTAATTCGACTCTTTAGCATGAGACACAAGGAGATTAGAACAGCAGTATATTTAAAAATAGAGGAGCTCTATTATTGAAACTAGTATTATTATTTAAAGATATAGACGCGGAGAGAAGTTTAGAATTATTGATTTTGACTGCATGATCTTGGTAATACGGATATTTAAAGCAGT